GACCGAAGAATAAACAGGTCGAAAGCTCGGTAAATCAGTGTAGTAGTTAACTTCACTAAAAGATGCATTTCGTTGGAGTTTTGTACTTCTTACTTGAATTTCTATTTCCCACTCCACAATCTACTCAGTAGGTATACTTGTTATGCCATAGTTTCTCTTGCCAGCATCTTCAAACCGAATAGTACCATGTATGAAAATTTCTCGAATGTGATAATGTTCACTTTTTTCTGTGTCGGTTAACCGATACCGATGCATACCTAGTCGGACTCTGAAATCAAAATCATAGGCTAGCTTTTGTTCTTCGAATGTAGAACTCGTTGTACATAGTTCAAAATTAATCAATCATTATGCCTATTAAAGTTCCCTCCTCATGATGAGATATGATTCAGTTTTGAAGGTACTAACGTGACAGTATCTTTCAAATAACCAAGAAGATTTTCATAGTTACATACAGTTGAGTTGGGTCTATTAAAACGGCAAGAACAATTGATTAGACGATTTGAAGATTTTGTCAAAAGCTTAGATAAAAAAAAGACGTTCATATCTAAGCTTTTTCTTTGAAAATTTTTATTTAGTATTAATAGTGGCACAGTGTAATTATGCGAGTTTACCTCCATGTTACAAAAAATCCTCAGATTTATTACTCAAGATATGAAGTCGTTTTACTCTTGTAAAAAATGTTCTCCATATTCAGAGTAAAACTCAGCGTTTTATCTTTGCTGATAAAATCCTTGAGCATTTTAAAAAATGGCTGATAGATCCTTTTCAGTGTATATCCAATGAAAATCAAAATTCAAATAAGTGCAGAATCATTTTTTCAAGTTAACAATTTAATTCCAATTTCTAGTCAGACACTTTGAAACATGTTACGATGCCAAAAACTTATGTATTAAGGTCTTGGTTTGCCACAGTTGTTATTTTTGCAGCATGAACTTGGTCCAGGATTAGAAAACGTAATGCAGGACACAACAGCGCCATTACATCTATCGCAGGCACCACCAGGTAAAGTCCAATACCAACTTGAAGCCGTACAGCCATTCTTACGGTAACAATCATCGTGAACATCGCAGCATTTGCCTTTATTACCGCAACTGCTCACAGCCCACTGTGGAATATCGCAACCAAAGCTGTCTCGCAAAAAGGTCTCTGACTCAAGCGATCGAAGGAAGAGAGCTTGTCTGAATTCACTTTCGGAGGGAGAACGTTGCACACGAGCATTGACTTGTGTTTTATCTTCAAGATGTACGGACAAGGATTGAACAGAACCAGAATAAACCATTAGAGCAATTGCTAATAAAAGCTTGTTCATCATGACCTGGTCTTGAAATTAAAAAAAAAATACGCAGTTATTATTCAGAAAAAAGACTTTTTCCAACTTACAGTTATTCAAATTTATTCTTTGTAGCCGTTTGATTGTGTAAAGGATAAATCAAGTTTCTCAACTTTATATAGAAATGAATGTATCAGAATAAACGTGACGCTTTCACAACGCCTTATTTTCGTCTATCACACTGTAGGCGTAACATTTGTTTCGGTTTCAGTACATTATATGTGAGTTGATTGCAGAGTATTCAAATATTTTTTGAGTGATAATAATATATCGAATTTGTACATTGAATAATATCCTGATAGAAGGAGACTCACAATTAAACTGTAGTATGTTGATAACGTGATACTTACGCGTCTCCCCCCCCCTCCAAGTTCTATACCGTGATCACTTGTGAATTTCGACATTTTACCCCGAATAAAAGAAAGGTTTTCTTATTTATTTTCAATTTCTTCTTTTTGTTTTTGTAATTTTATCTACTGCTGTAATTTTATGCTTATCTGTAAAGTAGTTTAGTGTTCTTCATACCAGACTATTCTTTTTTTTTCTTCCCATAAGCGAAATTTTTTCTGCTTATTTTTAAAATTATATGGTTTCTTGACCTACATAGAAGAAACACCCTTACAGAATAACATCTAAATGATCATATTTTCCCCTTTCATATTAACACCTTATGTTTTCTGCTATCCATATCAAAATAGAACGGAGTCTGTTCTTTTGTTAATAATTTTGATAGAAATGAAAAGAGACTTGTAGTTTCACCATTCGAAACAGGAGGCTAGGGGAAGTGCTACCATATGCAGAAATATTTTCAAACCGGTTTTCCAGTGCCGTGGCCAAAAGGAACGTGTAAGGGGGTGTGCGCCCCTCCTGCTTTCGGAAAGAAAATTTTTGTTTAATAATCTCTTTTCTCCCAAGAATTTCGTCTGAGCTCTTTTCCAAATGTTGTACTCAATCTAATCAAAATTTAGCAAAAATATGCTCTTTTCCACTTTGTCGCCTAAAATAGTTCAGAGCAAAAATGTTCTCCCTCTTTTCTTCAATAAGAAAAAAGCTTAAACTGATATCAACATCATCCTTGTCATTTAGTTATTGTGTTGAAATTATGATAAAAGATGATGTTGTATTCTACGGTTTTCTCTTAAATGAATTTACATCCCTCCTGCTTTTTTCCCTCCGCGCACCACTAACGAGGGCTACAGAAATAAGAAGAAATTAATTTAGGGCTCTTCGTGTAAATTCTATAACTTTGCAAAGAAAGGTCATGTAGAGTTGGGAGATGTCTCATTTTAATCAGAAATGTGCGGGCTACAATCATGCCT